CCCCATTCCCCTATCCCTCACCTCAATCCCACTGCCTGGTCCCATCCGCCCCCATCCCTCACCTCAACCCCATTCCCCTATCTCTCACCTCAGTCCCACTGCCTGATCCCATTCCCCTATCCCTCACCTCAATCCCACTCCTCGGTGCCATTCCCCTATCCCTTACCTCAGCCCCACTCCCCTATCCTTCACATCAGTCCCACTCCCCTAACCCTCACCCCAGCTCCACTCTCCAGTCCCATTCCCCAACATCCATCTATCTGTTGCTAATGTGTATCTGCTGTGCCCTGATGCAGTTGTCTCAGCTCCATGGCAAAGTGTTCCCGCATTCCCAATAAGTCTCAGTGTAAATACATTTCTCCCAAACTGTCTCCATGCTTTCAAAATCTTAAATTGATTGACCAACCCTGGGTAATCCATGTCAATACTAATGTTTGTAAAATTAAAACCCTCCATTAAATTGTCTCTCAGCATGCTCAATGCCCCTGACAATTGGTACTAGCATGGGCCCCTTTGTTGGGGAGTTCCAGTTGTATTTTACTCCTGGAGATCTGTATTGTTGACCTGCTTCCTGACTCGAGCTCCCTGTATCGGTAGTGACATTCCGAACTGCTATGGGAGGGAACCTAGAGTTCTGGGTGGGTTCAGGACTAAGTAAAGGGGTGAGTATTAAAGGAAGTTTGTCAGATAGGCTAGCGGAAGAGAAGAGCAGAGAGAAACATCTGATCAAACTGTTGCAATTGTAGTCCATGTGATGAGAGGGAATTTCTTTATTAGAATATATCAGTTTTCACAGTGTGTTATTGTTATCTTGAGCTGGTTATGTTTGTGATTGTAACTTAGACGCTCTGAACACTATGTCCTTTGTATAGCCAACAGTAACACTTGAGGCGCACAGTGGCCAAGAGGCAGCAGCATAATGAGCTGGTTCTTGATTTACTACCTCATTCTGTCCCAATCAAGCAGCCCTTACGGGGAGAAGTGTTGGCAGAGCCTTATGAAATCTGAGCAGAAACACAGTGATTCCTGTATTCCTGGTCATCGCAGCAATCCCATCCAGACAGATCACATTGCCAAAATTTGGACAGTTTTGATGTGAGATTGGATGAAGGATGCTGAAATTTACAAAGCCATCTTTTCAGATTTAATAAATGGCTTGAGGTTCAGGAAAAGAGGCATGCTTCATGGGACAAGAGTTTTCTTATAATTGTCTGTTTTGCTTTGGCAATACATGCTGTCTTGTCCCTGCACTCTGGAATTCCTTCCTGACTTGTCTCAATCTCTCTCTCTTCACCCGACTTCTCTGACCAAGCTTTTGGTCACTTCTTTAAAATTCCTCTTTGCTGTGGAGCCAATTGGGGCAATTTGGGATATTTTGATACATTATAAGCCCCGGCTGTCCCAATGATTATGGGTATCCGAGTGAGAGCCAATGTCTATTTGCTTGAGAATTGTTATCCTGGGTGTCTCTTGATACCTGGTGCCTGTTTGTGGCCAGTCACCATCTTGCTGTGCCTTGTCTCCACACACAGGGGAAGAGAAAGTTAGCATCCAGCTGGACCTAGAAGCTGAATTCCATTTCACACACCTCATCATGAAATTCAAGGTAAGTGAGAAAGAACAGGACAAGGGAGGGTTGGTTTAACTACAGACTGGAATCTCATCACAATTCTTCAATACAATCTAACTCGACATTAAAGGTGCCTTCAACAAAAAAAATTTCTAAAGAAATGTTTGTTCCTGTACACACCCAGTCAGTTTCAGTCTTAATTATTGTGCAGAAAAATACCTCAACCAACTTCTTTAAAGCTTAACTAACCCCTGTTTCCCCCACTGGTCATATGCTGGAGCTTTGATCTCTTTCATCTCTGAAGGACCTGAAAGGTGAACCAGCCCATGTATTGGGGCCATGTTCCAGTCACTAGTTTGTGCAGGGGGCTGACTTCCCCACTGCTCACTGCAAATCCCTTTCAACAGGAGCTTTTACTCAGGGGATTTACTGTCAGTTATTACTGACAGTATTCATTGAGTGTAATGAAGGGAGGTTATTGCTCAGATTATTTACTGAAGATTAATCCTATAAATTAAAGGGAAATTATGTTTTAATTATTCTGGAAACTGTATTGTGGTGCTAGCTTTGTTGCATCGGTACAGCTGGTGAGATTTACTGTGTGAATGATTTGAACACACCCTCAGCTCTGGGCTGTGCTCCAGATCAGGTTTGCTCTTTGATCAGGAATGTTTCTATTCAGGCCCTGAGCTGACAATGGGCCTGTTAATTAGTAACATCGTCCCACCTCACCGTGGCAGCACTTTGGTGGCCATTTCAAAACTCAATGGTCAGAATTTACCTGACTCAGCAAATACCCTCCGTAATAGCCTTCAAAAAATACCCTCAGTATATGCCCTCAGTAATAAGCCTTAGCAAATGTCCTCACTAAATGCTCTTCATAATAACCTTCAGCAAATACCATCTCAGTAAATACGCTGCTTGGTGGATTGATGACATTCCTGACTAGAGTTTATGCCAAACCTCAGTCTGCTAGTACTGATCAAGTTATTTTACTTTAGCTCAAGTCCTCAGCTTTGGGTGATGGATGAACTGAAAGCTTAGAGACACCTCAGAGATATGTTGACTTTAACTTATCTCAAACTGCATTGTTCATGTCTGAACCTGCATCAAGTCCTGCCTATCCATCACCACCATAGGCTCATTGAACTACATTGTGTAGTGTTCAATTATTCTGTGTTTGATTCTAAGTCTTTTTAAAATTGATGCTGGCTGTGTTTTATTGGTTGAGCTTGGGTGTATACTCAGAGAAAAGTGAGAGGGATGTAGAAAGAGCTGCGAGCTGGGGCTGTCGACATGGAGCAGATGTTTTAAAATCCTGTTACACAGACAGAAACCAGTCATCCCTGAATCAATTCAAAGTTTAAATGCACAACACATTGCTTTCAATGAGGAAGGGTCACCGGACCCAAAACGTTCTCTCTGTTTTCTCCTTCACAGATGCTGCCAGACCTGCTGAGCTTTTCCAGCAACTTTGTTTTTGCTCCTGACATTGCTTCCAAGTCCAGCAACTGCTCATATTAAAAATGTTGTTCTTCTTTTCAGGGTCTTGCCTGTACTCAGGTCTATTTCCTGAAACTCTCTCTGGAATCTACTCATTCCCCCAATGCTGCCCCTGATTTTAATTACTCACCTTTTGGTGGTAGTGACTTCAGCTGCCTGGGCTTTAATTTTCCCCCTAAACATTTTCACTGCTCTCTCCTCTCTCCTCATTAAGATGCTCCTTAAAATCATTCACTTTTTTCTGAGGTGTTGATCTCCAGTTTTAGTATCACCTCTCGTGGCCTGGTGACAGTTTGTGTCTGATCACATTCCTGTGAAGAACCCAGGGCAGAAAGCTGTGGAAAATGTTATAACCATCTTGTTTTGTCCTTTCCGTCAATTAGACATTTCGCCCGGCTGCCATGTATATTGAGAGATCTTCAGACTTTGGCCGGACGTGGAAGGTGTATCGTTACTTTGCTTTTAACTGCACAGTTTCCTTCCCTCATATCCCCACCGGCCCCCTGAGGAGGATCGATGATGTTATTTGTGACCATCGTTACTCAGATATCGAACCATCTACAAATGGCGAGGTGGGTCTGGAGCAGATCTGTCTGATTGTACTTTTCACTGGGAAGCCTCAGGATAAGGGAGGGAGAAAGCAGGTGTCTGATCAAATGATTGATGGAAATTGTATCCAAAATTCCCCCTGCCTCAACTTTCTGCCCCTAATACACACTCAGGTATTGATCAAAAACTGGGAGACATCAATACAGCTCCTCTTTCAACGGCCTGACAAATTTATCAATCCATCAAAGTCAAAATTGACCTGCACTCTCTCTGAAGGCTGAGAATTCAGTGCGAGTAACTCCCCTCCTGACTCCCCAAAATCTGTCCACCATCTACAAGGTACAAGTCAGGAGTGTGATGGAATACTCCCCACTTTCCTGGATGGGGGCAGCCCCAACAACACTCAAGAAGCTCGACACCATCCAGGACAAAGCAGTCGCTTGATTGGCACCACATCCACAAGCATCCCACTCCCTCCACCACTGACACTCAGTAGCAGCAGTGTGTACCATCTACAAGATGCACTGCAGAAACTCACCAAAAATCCTCAGACAGCACCTTCCAAACCCACGATCACTTCCATCTAAAAGGACAAGGGCAGCAGATACATGAGAACACCAACCCCTGCAAGTTCCCCTCCAAGCCACTCACCATACTGACTTGGAAATATATCGCTGTTCCTTAACTGTCACAGAGTCAGAATCCTGGAATTCCCTCCCTAAGGGCATTGTGGATCTACCTACAGCACATAGACTGCAGCAGTTCAAGAAGGTAGCTCACCCCCACCTTCTCAAGTGCAACTAGGGACGGGCAATAAATGCTGGCCCAGCTAGCAACGCCTACGTCCATGATTTAATTAGGAATATCAAATGGTTTAATTGTAAATCATGGAGCAGGTCTGATATAATGATGTTGAATTTTAGACCCAGAACCAGACAAAGATTTTTCCAATTCTTTTTCATCCTGTCGTGCTCATATGTGGTGGGGAGGTGATGGCCTAGTGGTATTATCACCAGGCTATTTTAATCTGGAGACTGAGCTAATGTTCTGGGGACCTGGGTTCAAATTCCACCATGACAGATGGTGGAGTTTGAATCAAATAAAAATCTGGAATTAAGAGTCTATTGTTGATTGTCCAGAGAATAAAAGACCCAACTTGTTCACTGATATTCTTTAGGGAAGGAAAGTGCCATTCTTACCTGGTCTGGCCTATATGTGACTCCCGACCCACAGCAATGTGGTTGACTCTTAATTGCCATCTGGGATGGGCAATAAAGGCTGGTCTAGCCAGCGACACCCACATCCCGTGAATGAATACATGAGAGATACTCCTGCTCCCACACGTACTGTGTTTCTCAAGTTGCCATCCACAGCAAGGAGGGCAAAAGCAACCCTGAGATCCTTCCCAGAGATTGGCACTTTCCAGGGATACAGCCACATACCTAT